TATTCAAAGTCACAATTGGCACGTGAAAATTATACTTGACAGGAATTGCAAAACCAACTGTCATCCAATTGCTCTTATCAAAGTACATCGTACGTCGCCGAATACGTGATACGAGATCCTTCCTTATCGTCTGTACAGTAATCCTTTCTGTACCGAGTAGCTAATGTACATATACATATATAATGTTTGGCAATGTATTCGAAAAGTGTAATCACAGTCGGAAAACGTGACAGGTAATATGCATGATGGAAGAAAGAGATAGAAGCCAGAAGAAAAGTCAGATTAATAGAAACACAGAGGACACGTCCTTCTAAATGCAAATGAGTCCTGGTCGTACTGGTAACAGTTAGGTAGCAGCCGGGTACAAAGACAGCATAGACAATTTATCCGGCAACATTGACGCATCTCGTTATACGCTGGGTGCGATAGGTGCGCGTGGAAACGCCCAACTGAAAATTTCCATAAAACTCATTAATGACAATACAATTATTTCGGGTCACAATTTGTCCTGCGAAGACAGGCGGATAGATGGTTACTGGTTAAATTTTCAGACGATCTTGAATAAATGATTCTTACCCATATAGTACAGTATATAGTAAATATATAATATACAGTACACAGAATATACTGTACAGTCTACATAGAAAGTTAGATGGTAAGAGTATCGTGACCGGTTCAATAGATTCGCCCCGATACAATAAAAAGAAGACGAGGATCCCAATTCTCCAATTACAATTAGGATAAATGCCTATAACTGCTGATGCCGAAGCATCGTCCCTTCTGTAAGGTCCCATCCGGCAAGCGACCCTTATCGACTTTTAACGAATCGGCATTTTCCACGAGGCACCCAAATAGCAGCAACCCCCCTTTGAAGAACTTTTAACTTTGGTAATTTGGCCAGGGTTAGAATGCAGGCCCTTCCTGTCACTTGGAAACTGAGTCGCCGACGTGAGGCTGGGAAACGGGGAGGCCCGAGACAGCTCGTGTAAGACGAGTCATTGTCAGGTTGCTGGGAAGAAAAAAATTACCCTTAATTTTCATACCCTGTGTAATTTATCGTCTTTATTATTTTCAGCTCGATTGACCATCCATCAGATTGCATAATTACCAAACCCATCTCAGGCGCACAATGGCGTCTCCCCTCCGTCTGTATCAGCTAGGGAAAGTCAATTTACTACGAAGAGATCTCGCAGACGGATACATCGCGCGTCCTTTTTCAATTAATCAGAAATAAACAGAGTACACGCTCGAGCGAAAATTCTGCGCGACAAACTTTATTTATTGCAGCAGTCGCACAGCAGAAGGCCTGTTATTTGAACAATTGTGTAATCGTTATCGAAATAACGAGTTTCATGGAATATTTTAACCGGATGTACTCCTGATTTTTACTGATGACTTTTTGCTGCACGCGCAAAAGGAAAAAAATGACGTCCTTCGACGTCAAAATCAACAACAGCATAACTTCACGCAAAAGCCTCTTACGTCGAAGAATAACGAAAGTGTTCATAAAGACCCTTTGCGCGTGGTTCCGAACGTAGGAACTTCAATTTTTCATGCGGCAATCTTTGCTCGATACCAAAGCTCAAGAGTGTTACGAAATGGACTTTCCTCGAATTAGTTAACGAGACTGGTAGCTAGGCAGAAACGTTTCAGACACGTATCTAATTATTATTTCTAATGTCTCATTGTAGTCTCCCTTGCATAGCCATTAACGTTAACGGCTCGCTGCTTCATACTGAATTGTTCTTACGCTCTACAGACTTCATAATCAGGGTCAATCGGCATGCCGGAAATGACTCGTTATAGCGAGAGCATATACAATTAATCTTGCGTCTTAATAAAACTATACTATACTATACCAAATAAACTGGACGAACTTTTTTCACTAGTTAACCAAAATCTTACGTCGCCGAAAGAGATCAGAGCCAAAGTCCTCTTGGTAAGAAACATTAAAACACGAGATACTTGCACGCGTGAAAAATCCAAAATCTTAAGACTAATGAAATTTCGTAAAAAAAGAAATTCAATCTGCCTCGTGATAATAACAAAGCCAGTGCATCGTGTCTGCGCGATAAGATAATTAGACTAGCCCCGTTCAATGCGCGAAACAATACGCGAAAACAATAATAACGTCGAGACAATGGGCAGCCCTTGCGCAAACATTTCAATAAAATGGCGCGCCTCTGACATTTTATGACAAAGCACGGAATCCCACAGGCGCAGCGTATGTCCGTAGTTTATCCAGAGCGGTTTGAACGGGCTTATCCGAGCGTAAATGTAACGATAATGCGATGGTCCACGATCATCAATTCGTGCAGTCGCCATCATTATAGACAGATAATGCCCGTATTCAACATCGGACACGTAGGGTGGGTACCACCCTCGTAAAACGGAAGGTTCACACCGAGCCATTATTCGCTCCCATCCCGACGTAGAGACATGGGATTCGCAAGAGTGAACTTGCGCGGGCTATAGGTGCCCAAGAGAATCCTCGAGATTCTAGGCGATTCCCGTAGGACGCCGAGGTGGAAAGGAAACGACGTGAGCCTAATCTGGATGGCGTTGTGGAAACAAGTAAAAGTAAAAGGTACTTACCAACACACGCCTTCTTCCCGACGACAACGTCAATGAAATAGGTGGCTGGGACCATTTCCTTCTTTACATCCCCTTTTCGTTCTACTGTCTCCCCTTTTCCTTTTTTTTTTTTTTTTTTTTTTTTTTTTTTTTTTTTTTTTTTTTTTTTTTTTTTTTTTTTTTTTTTTCTGTCTCCCCTTTTCCTTTTTTTTTTTTCTTTTCTTTTCTTTTTTTTTTTACCATATCTACCTATCTCTCTTTATGCTCTTTCTTTTTGTTGCAGACTTGCGCTGCCAGGTAATCTCCGATCTCAGACACGGTACGAGAAAGTTAGTAGTAACGCAGTAAGCTGGATAGGAAATCAAAGGGAGCATTAAAAGTTGTCGATGCGTTAGCTGGTACGACGGTCGGCGCTTGTTGCCAGAAAGGACTCCCGCGGGAGTGCACAGGGGCTTGTAGAAACGGTAGGAAGCCATTTCGCTCGTCTGCCGAGTCATAAAGCAGATACTGCTGCTACTGCTAGCCTCGAAAATACATAAATCTACGGACGGCTGCGACGCGGCGTTCGTAAAGTGCGCGAAATAAAGCCGCGGGAAAAATAAATTGCCGCGTCGAGGACTACGGAGAACAAAGGGACGTAGGAGTCGGGAAAGGCGGGCGTCGGGCATGTCGCGAGCGACCGATTGTGATTTTATCCGGGGAAATAGGTCTAACACTTTTTTGCAATTTATATGCATAGGGAGTGATAATAATGCCGGGGACTAAAGTGCCACTTAGTATTGTTCCCATTGTGACACTTTAAACAAAACCCGTTTTGCACGCAGTCGGTTCCAGTTGTGATTGCAAGTTTAAATCTCCCGCCGTAGACGTCATATGTATATATATATATATATATGCGAGGCGCGTTCCGAGTTTATCGAATATTTCAATGGGAAAATCCAAAAGATCAATATCGTATCTAGCATAAAAATAACTGTCTTTTCGTTAAATAATTTACTGTACTATACGTTCGCGTATGGCTCGCGTTGCGTTTTATCGAACGTGAAATAGCTTACGATTACGAAAAACCCAGAGAGAGATATATACACTACAACGGAATCGAATGCAGCAGAAACAGCGAAGCGTAGAGTACAGGGGTTCGTAAAAGCGTAATACGATAAAATCGGTTACAGGATATACGCTGAGTTATTAGCGCGTGCAAAACAGCGTTACCTTCGATTAATCGTGCTACAAGGATCGTAAGCCAAACGGTTTAACGAAACCAAAACATATCACGGTGCTCGAGCCATAATCTCTATTTCGATCGTACTGACTTTACGATTAGCGTTAGTAATCGCCGTGCGCACGATCGTCAAACCGTCGTCACGTGGCACTGCTCTGTAGACTGAAAAAAAACCGTAAAATCTCGTAGAATCCTCATCTATTCTTTGTCCAAGGTTAATTTCAACGCCAGACGAAAATCATGTCAAGATAAATGTACTTTTCGTAGGGTGTCTCACCAAATAACAATTATATCGTTACTTGCCTTAACTGGTACGACAATGAAATAAATGAGCGCAATGAGGGCGTTGTTAGGAGCGGCCGAGAGGAAGCCTTCTTAATAAAAACAACAGAGTATCCAACCCCTCCGGCCGACTGTCCCATAGCCCGTTTCGCTCTATCTTTGTCATACTCCCGTCACTCTCTCGCAACACCCTTCGTCGTATCTCTCTCTCCTCTTCTCCTACCTCTCGGCTCATCCTTTCCTACTACTAGACACCCTTTTCAGCCGTACCGCTGCTCGTCCCATGCCAGACTGGCAACCCAGCTAGAGGTTATATCTCGCTGTGTTATTGTTGGCTTTTCACAATACACCGCAGATATCTATAGCCAAGAAGTCCCATTTCATCACATTTTCCTGGCCCTTTTACTCTGTTCTGAAACCTGACCGAAGGAACCAACACCATTTCATCTGGGTATTTCACTTTTGCAATACCGACGTGTACACTTTCGTTTTAATTTTCGTATTAACACTAGACATTTTCCTGCCGTGCTACGGCTCGATTCTCTGTACGCTGTCTAAAATCGTACGTTATAGTGGTTAGTACGCGTAAGGATACACGCCTAGATGGACAGTCTGGCACAACTCGTGATTATGCCGAACGTGTCGAACACTCCGTTTGCTACGTGACCTAACAAAAAAGGACAAGGGAAGTTAACGTGGGGATCGAAGAAATCGTACGTAGTCTCGACGTGGCCGATGCACGAGTAGAAAGGAAATAACGTAGTTTCAGAGGGAAACCAAAGGAGGTCGTAGCTTCCGTGCTCTTGTCGTTTCTGTCTTCTTTTTCTCATTCTCTTTTTATATATATACAAAAGTCCATATACACTTACCCACATTATCTCTTTTCTCTTAAAAATATTCTCTAGAGTGATTTTCAACTTACGTGTAGCACTGGACACCTCGATCAGCAGGACAATCGACAGGAGTGCGCCCACGAAGAATGTGGCTACGAAGAATGACCTCGAGCTGCACCCCATCACGGCATCCCTACGAACTTTTTCTACCGAATGCAGTAGTCACTTTTAACACTTATATTTGTATTATTACAACATGTAATGCGGCAAAATACGATTTCACTCTCTGTACGCGTACGTGCTGATTCTCACTGACATCACTTATTGGTCACGCGTCGACAGTCTGACTGACCTCACTGAACCTTCCAGCACCTTAACATCAGGACACGCACCTTCTACGTCGTACTAAGTTCCCATGGCACGATATTTCACGATCTCTTCGACCAGGTTCACCACGTGTTACGCGGCATTGGTTATAACGGTGCTAAGTCTTTTTTTTTCAGGTTTCACCTCGATAACGCTTATCAGCAATGAATGCATACGCGTGAAGAATACCGTGCCGGAATTAGGAGGTGGGTAATTGACCCTTGCCGTGTTTCACATTGTTCCATATCTGTACTTCCATCCTACGTATATTAATAAACAATTGTTGAGAATAATTTGTGACGATAAATTTAAATCAAAATGGCTATATCTCTTTCCTTTGCTATCTCGCTGCCTTATACAGAGGGTAGCCTTTGTTGTTGCGTGCGGCGGGGATGTTGCTTTATCCAAGTTACGTTTGGGAGTTAATTTAGATAGTCGTAGAGAGAAGGGATGAAAAAAATAAAAGTAAGCCAAAGGAAGTAACTTTCCTCACTTTAATTTCCTCTTTACGACTCTGCCATGCGAAAAGTTCGTTATGGGTCCAAGAGCAGCTGACGCAGTTTCCCAGGGCTGTACACAGTGGCGCCTATTATTGGGCGTTTAGACACTTATCAAACTCTTCCTATCTCTCTCTCTTACTTTGGGTTTTCGAACGTAAGAGGGAGCTGGAATTTTACTGAGATTTAGAGTCCATAAAACTTAGAGAAGAGTCCCTGATAATAAATTTATGAAGGAACCAAAACGCGCGGTAGATCTACTCGCGGCTCCATACGACAAACTTCGCTACTAACGTCACATAAAATTCCCATAATTCCCCCGTGCTAAAGTAACAAACGCGAGGATCATTCTATATCAATGGCGTGGAGCGTTACTGTTCCCTTTCTTTTTACTGGAGCGAACCCGCCCCCTTGGTAAATCTTCGTCGATCACTTCAATCTATCCTGTAGAAAATAAGAGAATCGTCGGGAAAGATAACTTCGGTAATTAGAACTGACGTCCCGAGGCACGCGTCCGAAATAGTTACGGCTTTGATGTTTTACGGGAATTGCTGAAACATGCGATACGATGCGAGGGAGGAAGGGGGTTACGCAAGCGTTACTATATACGAATTAATCATTTGCAGCTCTCGCAGAAACGTTTGACCCCTTTTAAATTGATTAGCAATGTGCACTGGGGTACTTGTGAATTAATGGGTTAATGGATGCGATCTGAGAGTAATTGAATCGATTAAAAACGCATCAGTTATTATTATCTTTCGTGCTTACGTCATATGCCAATATAATATATGCGTTTACCCAAACATAATAGATCTTGACTATACACTAATATTATATGACGATCCGAAATGTTTTATTAAAAATTTCTAATTTCATTTCTCTTTTCGCGCTCTCGGATTTATATCGTTCGATTTAAAGAGAGAGTACATTTATTTTCTCCACGCAAATTATGAAAGACATCAAAGCAACCGAAAAAGACCGAAAACGTTACTCCTAATACCTCCTACAATTGTGAAAATAATTTCACTCGTCTTCTTAAGTCTCAGTGTAGCCCCTCGAAAATTGCTTGGTTAGTATATGTATATATAACGATACTGTAGACTCGTCAAATATGAATATTTTCAAAGTGCGATTAAATCTTCAAAATTCATTAAGCCTAATTATTTCGTATTCAAGCATATTCAATAGTTACGCAGGATTGTCAGTCAGTTAGCCGAATGTATGCCGTCTATCGAAACTTAACAATAATAATCAACGCACGTGTTAAATGGAACATTCCTATCAGTAATAACGTGTCCCGTGTCACACAGCACATACGTATTATATAATTAATTTAACAGGATAATTAATTATCGATATTAATCTTACAGGACGCACCCCCTATATTTTTCAGGCTGAAAAAAAAAACTGTCATTTCGGCGTGAGCAACTTCCTGAGGAGATCGATATACGGTAAAAAAAGTTCAAAGATAGCATTTAATATTTAATATTTGTCACGTGTTATCGTGGCCCTCGTGTCAATTCACGAAACTGACAGATTTGAGATTCGTTTTACGTAAATTTGAATTCGTTCAGAGCTGTCCCTTTGTTTTTTGTTTTTTTCAAATAAAATGATAACAGGCAAACCACCAGAGTCGCGAATACTTGACACGATACGTATGCGAACTGTACATGCGTCATTGACGTAAAAAAATAGAGAAACACATTCCTGTGTTACCGTCAACGATCATAGAAACATAACGTAAAATAGAACCCCAGACCGCAACGAAATACAGTAGTCCGACACCGATGAAAAAGTTTCATCAAGTAACACAGCAAGGTAAACATCAATTTCCGAACAGCCACGAGTCACAATTATCCCCATTACCGCGGAACGCCAGAGTCATCAAGAGAACGAGGATCCATGAACCGATTCCCATTACGGGCAACCAAGCTCTCTGTCATAAGTGAAAAAATCGAACAAGTCTTTTTCAAGTACAGAATAGGATAACGCGTGAGTAAAAAGTTTGAATAAAGAAGCTTGCGTAAGAAGCACGTAGGTGAGATTCGCTCGATTCCCGTATGACAAGGCGTAAAGAATGGGCGCGAATTTCAAGCCCGTTAAAATAACAGAATCAATACGAGGAGACATAAAAAAGAAGTATGAAAAGGCGACAAAACTAGAATATCTCAAAATGCCATAGCTCTTTGGAAATAACCATGAAAAGAACGACAGACAGTGAACAAATATTTGCCAGAGGAAAACTTTTCGCGCGCCGAAAACTAAGAGGCAGACGAGTCTTCGTCGATAAATTTCATGATTCTTTATGTCAGGAGCGAGAATATCACACAAGCGTTTCTTTCTTGTATCCAAAAATTTATGACTTTACAGTCCGACACTTCGATAGGTTACTTCGTGTATTTTTAAGCACTAATAACGATCCACACCTCGGAGCAGATCCTAGGCGATGCCTGTAAAAGATTGTCACACCATATGTCACGTGAAGCAAGATTTTACGAAAATCAAGATTCGTTCTTCGAATAAACGAGCCTGGGTTGACCCGCGCGTTAACCCCCGTTGTATACGAGCGATACACCCGCCCGTAACTTAACACGGAGGAAACCCCAGAGCGTAAACTGCGAGATGTGCTTTCAGCTCGAGGTCGGCTTTCGGAACTGAGCAGAGCGCCGTTGGAGTTTGGGGGGACTCACTGCCACCACTACCATCGCCGTTCTACTACCACCACCCGCGCTCCAGCAACCCCTGCGCTTTAGCCGCTTCCACCCTGCCAACGTCCTGGCAACCCATCGTCTGCGCACCCGCTTTTTCTCTCTTTCTCTCTCTCTCTCTCTCTCTCCTTTTCTTTACGACCTCACTTGGAGCCGCCACGCGCTCATCCACTCACTGACTGACAATTAGAGGGACTACGGAAACGATCGAGATTGCACCTTGCCGCTATCCTTGTCGTTGAACTCTTGAAAGTTGTAACTTCAAGATAGTCTTTCGGGACAAAATGAATTTTTACGACGATCATAGCACGGATCAAGGACTCGGTTTAACGTAATCTGACTACCAGCTGCAAAGATGACTGGGCAATTTTTACTTCCGAGTTTAAAGGATGAAAATTTTCATTAAAATAATTCATGTCATGTAGAATCAAAATTCAGAGATGGACCCCCCCAACTGTTTCAAGTTATCATTTTACTAAGGAAGAACAACTCGTGTTCACTTCCATGGCGATAAACTTTCCTGATATTAACATCCTCGTTGGAGATGTAATTTTCGTTGGTTGATATAGTGCAACCGTTTCGTCGTCACGGCAGCCGTATTACGGCTAATATTTCTTAAGGTACGGAACTAAAATTAAGTGTCTTATAAAGAGGAAAGGTATTAATAACGCTAGCAATAAAATGGTACTTTCAAAGAGTTCCTAGTACTTCAGAACTGACCTTAATAAATGGATGAATACACATTACGACAATGTGGCTCAGAGCTACGATTGCCCAACTACATGAATATAGAGAATTATTACAGATAATGATATTTCAGCCAATAATATCTGATCGTCAACAACGATTTACCTGATACAAAAAAAAGAACGCACTCGCTAAAACAATACGAAATGAAAAAAAAAACGTATACCAATAATCGTGCCAATTTTTCATAGGTATTTTATGATATATCAACGAAGTGCTTTCCGATTAAATAATGCTCAAACATACCAACATATTATATCATATGGCTTCGAGTGTAGCTAGCTATATTTTACATCATGTCGATATCATAAATAAACCATATATCTAGCTCGTGTCTATTTTTCAATTACGAGAATAATTTCATCCAATATCAAATCATTGATTAAAAAGAGGTGAGCTTCAAACAAAAATTTTGTTTCCATGATCCACCCTTTTTCCATCCGAAAAATATCCTACCTTCCAGGCATATAATTACGTACATATAAAATATATAGGTATATACACATTTATATATCGAGCATGCCCAACCAAATTTATAAAAGCCAACAGCGAGATATTAAATCTCAAGAAATCAGTTAGCTCGGCGATCCGTTCGAATGGAAAATTGCTGAAATTATTCGATCTCACAATGAATCCACGTTACATTGAAAACCAGTAACAGGACCGCACTGTTAGCTCAGCTTTGTAGCATCTAAAGGAAATAAGGGCACACAAAGAAACAGCCCATTTCGTATAGGCCGAAGAAAAGAGATAAAAAAGTATATGGGAAGGAAAGAATTAGAGAGAATAACGTAGAGAAAAAAGAGCCGTGGCTTCTGATTAGGGTAGAACCTTTCAAACTCTTAATTCGCCGGCGGCGTGTGCTCACCGCCACCAATGGTAGCATGCAACGCATCGTCAGGTTGCGCAAGGCAACCCACCCCTGCTCCGTGTCTACGGTTGCCATGGAAGCAGACGCATCGTCCTTGTTTCACGTGTATACGTTAACGGCGCGTATACGCACAGTCTACATCTGTATCAATATATATATACATATATACCATCACAACGTAGCCCGTGGCTTCTGACGCGCAGATCTCTCAAGTTCAGCAACGTATATATACGTACACCAGGTTAAGTGTGGAAAACGGAGAATACGTTCAAAACGGTACTCTTCGCGTGTGGCACGATTGAAGTTGTGGGGTTGTAGGTAATAGGCAGTGTGCGGTGCGCAGCACAAGAGAAGACGAAAGGAGAAACAAGAGGCAAAACGAATTAAAAAAATATTCTTTTTAGTGGCTGCGAAGAGACCTCGAGTGCACTAAACGAACTCTCGCCTAAACAGAAAATCTCACCTGGTCGTATATACACATATAGTACATTTTGTATAGAAAAACTATGAATACAAAAATAAATTGGTTATTGATTGAAAAATAAAATAATATTTAGCTGGGATATTATTTGTAGGTTATATATATATTTTTTAATTTACACCCTGTAGATATGGTTTATGCATCTAATGTCACTCTGACTCGTTTGTCATAATAAATTGATAAAGTAAAAATGCCACCAAAGGTAGTCCTCGCTGTCTCTATATAGCTGTATACATTTCCCGCTCTCGTCGGCAGTGGTAAAGTTTGTAATATGAAAGAAACAAGAGCCTGATTGAAGTCGAGAAAGAACGCGGCCATTAAGCACCTCCTCCCGTATCTTTTCGAGAGGATCAAAGTATAATCGTGAAAGCAGTTACGCAGCATACGGTGAAGGAGTATTTGAAAGCTGCCGACCATTCTGCACCCCTCGTATGCCTCGTATGGTCACCCCTTGAACCCTTGTAAGCATTCGGGTACAGCCGGGTATTAAATCAATGTATACCAGTTTGGCGTATCATAAATTCATTAAATGCGAACTTTACAGCGATAATCTCATTAGCCCGAAACAGCAGGCATACTCAGTTTACGGGCGGCCTCCCTTTTTGGATTTTATGGTGATTTTGCTGTTAAACTTTACGGGTGATATTACAATGTTATTAACGTGCCGCCAGGACGATATCTGCTGCCTTACCACAGATTTAGGTTAGCTACGCTCACTGTGATATAAGGAGGAATCCTTTTCCTCGCAAAAGTTTATCGTCCGTGCCGTCGGTGACGCAGATCCGTAATTGAAGGTATCATCGTCACGTGCTGCCATAACGATTTTCAATGAACTTCCAGCATGAGAAGTGTGGTGGAAGCACGTGCGAATAGTCGACCTCGTTCTTATTCGCCTTGCTAAACATATATCGTATACCACCCAAAAAACACCTGTGAACTATGCAAAGTACAGGAGTGCTGAGAATTCCTCTACTGTTTCTTATATTTAATTATGATTTAATGGTCATTCAATAATTAATAAAACTTTAGGTGATTCCCTATTTTCATTTTTTCTTTTTTATTTCTTAACTTATTCTTTACTTTCCTTATTTCTCTCTTCCTGCCTTCTTCTTTCTGTTATGTTCTCGTCCACTTCCCATTGTGCTTGTCTGACTTTTCGTATTTCTCTGGTTGGGCTGAGCATATTTTTACGAGTAGTCATAAGAAGGTAGTTCATTCTGTTAGAGAAAGACACGTGGACTATGGTGACGGGGGTTGTCCTTCCGCCTCATCTGCTGAGCTTGCTCAGTAGGTCGGGCCCAGGTTGTGGTCGCAATATGGTCTCTCCGGACCTCCCGACGGGGGCCTTGAGCACTCTTAGGGTACGCTATGACCATAGTCTTGCGTGTAGTCAATCTAACCAGGTGTCTATCTTTCGCGATTGTAGTACATGTATTTTTTTCGCTTTCCTGAAAACGCTGCAAGACATCGCTGACCCTTGAGCTCTTGTGTGGGCGTAGACGATCCTATGTGTCGGTGGGGTGGTCGGAGGGGTAGTCCGTTAGCTCTGGGCAAAGTAGCTGCCTTTGCTCGTGTTCCTGGGTTCACTTGACTTGAAGTAGTATCTCTATAGTTCTTTTAAACAGCTTTTGAGCAATAATCTGCTTCGTCGCCTTGCCGGTACCGCCGATTGCCTGTACTTGGCGCAAGACTCAACGGCGTATCGTAATCAGCGCCATCAGTTATGTAGAAAAGTAAATCGACGTGGAAATACGACGACGACGAAACTAAAATAAAATCATCTCGCTCGCCATCTCAATAGACCCTGATCTTGTATACTAATCGTATTGATCTTGGTGACAATCGATTCCGAACCCTCAATTCTATAGTGAATATATGAATAACTTTTTTTCATATATAGCGGTTCATAAGATATTTGATTCTAAACACAGGTATAAGAGTCGACTCGGGTCTTGAGTCTCGGCGTTCCGTGCCCTGTACATACAACCGGTTGCCTGTGCTTGGCGCAAGACTCGACCGAGTCTCTTGATAAACCTACTATACGTATAACCCCTCGTTATACATAATTGCACTAACTAGTAATAATCATTATCGCTAATAACACATACCACGTAGCGAAATTACTCGTCCTCGATATCTCTGGTGAATTTTGCAAAGATATTCAAAATTGAAATTCTAATGTGAAATAATATTAGCGGAAAACTACGCAATACGCACGCATGCACGCTTAGCTCTGTATTCCCATGATATCATACTTTTACGTATAGTTATACCCTAATGAACCCATTTCGGTATACAGAACTCTTTATTAATATGCAAATTTAGAGTCAGTAAAGGGTCTCAGTGCTTTACATACGGGGGGTCAGGTCGTCCAAATGAGAATTCTCAAATACGTGGATACGCGATACGTGATGAACAATGGCCTTCTCATTACAAAGAGTAATATAGAAAATTAAAATTAAATTTATCTCTATTAAAGTTTTATTCAATTCTTAGATTATCTGACTCGCGTAATCAGAATACAAAATTTTCCTTGTTATGTCTACAGGCTACCAAAATGTATTATCTGTAGATAAGGTATACCCACCATAAAAAGATATCAGAGCAGTAACTTTTTCATCATAGGTACATACCCACGCAAATTCAGCAGCCATGGTAAGTTTTTCAAATGCAATGTGAAATGCATTTCTTCGGAAAATATACACAAAATATTAATTACACCATATACCTTCAAATCACCTACTCTGTTTCATAGTGTACAAATGAGGTAAAAAAAAAATTGAAAATCAACTCGAAAAGCAATGTAACGACTGAAGGAATGAGAGCTATGAATACAGAGGAAGCCATCGATTTCCGACGGGAGAGTCAACATCCCCTTGTCGATGGTAAA